ACCTTCATGGGGCCCTTTAAATTCTTCCTTCAAGAAGCAGACTGTATTCCTTTTGTGCTTGAGCCTGAGGATACAAGCAGAGCGTGGAGCGCTCCACAACCTGAGGAGGGGGCTGCACCTCTCCTGAAAGAATGCGCAGTTGCCGAGTCCTGGCTTTCCACCAGCTTTCAACCAGGTGGGGCCTCAACTGAGGAGGGGCTGATGTCACCCAGAGCACCGGGCAGGGCTCTTTATATAGAGTCAGTAACGACGCATCGCCCACATGTGTGTAGTGAGCTAGCCAGCCAGTGCCAGGTGAGAATCCTGGCCACAGGAACCTTCATTTTATCCACAGAGGGATGGTGCTTTGCCCCTCTCCCCGCCCCTCACCTCTCTGTGCCTTTCTGCTTGAGTAGCCCCTTGGTGTGGTGCCGGTCACTGCACGGCCATGAGCCAGGGGACTCTGCGTGAGTGCTTGAGGCTCCCGCACGTGTCAGGCACCTCCCCTTGCTGGTCAAAGAGCCCAAGCTATCTTCTGCCCAGACTAAAGTGGCACCAGTGTTGGTCTCTTCTCAGCCTTGGGTCCTCTATGCTTCATGGAAGAGGTGGCCTTCATCCTCTCCTGGGGGTAGAAACCTGGCAGATCACATTTATTAACCACCGCCCCACATATCCTCAAGTCGGACCAGGCTGGGGCTGAGTGTGACGTGAGGCATCCCTCCCTGTAGAGGCTGCTGGGCCTAAAGAGGCTCCATCCAGCTCAATCCCCTTTATCTTTTTGTGTTCAGAAGTAATGGAAATAGCCTCATCAGATTCAGGGCAATGAATTCTTCCTGAAGACGAGGAGAAACTGCAGAATGCCGGGAAACCTTATTATTTTCTGCAGTAATCTTAAAAATGGTTTCTGGTGTTTGTGTCACGGAGATAACTGGGCCAGGCTGGGACTCCTGGCCCCTGGGTGAGGCTTCAGGCCCACCGTACCTATGGGTAATTGGGGACGCTGGCACACAGCAGACATCTATTTCAGGCTCTTTAAAGCTTGGATTAAACTGGGCCAGGCCAATGCTCAGCCGGGCTGGTTTTGTCAGAAAGCAGCCTTAGTGGGATGATTTGTCCTGGTTCAGTTTGATTTTTTTTTTAATGTGATTGAAAAATAAGGCCTGAGTAAACCAGCTAGAGGCTCTAGTTTGTCATCTTCCCCAAAATTAAAGTGAACAAGAAACAGGACTCTGGGTCTCGATGGTTGAAAATCCCTGTTGACTCCCATGGGAAGAGAGCACAGTTTGGGCTCCAAGTCTGCTTTCTCCTTGGGCCAATGGCATGCTTTTCTCAGCTCATCTCTAGACTGACGGTGCTCATGCTGCAGAGGGAAGAGGCAGAGGGGAGAGCCTGCGAGGTGGGCTTCTGGGCTTCAAATCCTGGGGCTGCCTCTTCGTAGCTGTGCGCTTGTGGCAAGGCAGTCAGGGTGTTGGGCCACTGAGGCCTGGGAGGCATTTTCCGGCCCTGCCAGGGCCTGACATCCCTCGCTGACCCTGTGAACCGCCCTGGTGACTCCCCAGGGGTGGGGTGGCGGAGGCCTCCTTCCCATTTTGAAATGAGCCACTACTGTCCTTATTGGCAGTGAGGTGTGTTCCAGCGCAGGTGCCGTCCTAACCCAGCTCTGTGTGGGTCTGTCCTGGGCAGGGCACAGTCCTCTCCAGGCATACTGCCTTCTGGGAGGAGACTTAAATGGAAAAGAAATGATGAGGGTGATAGCTTGCTAAGGATTCCTCTAGACTGCCCCGGGAACATAGGGAGGGGGTTTAGCCTGGTGGGAAGATGGAGGGAGCCCCTCCCCAACCTTGAGAAGGGTGTGGTTCAGGCGGGAGCTGGAGGAGCCTGGGCAGAGCAAGTTCCACGCAGAGGGGCTGGCCTTGGGGTGGGGGGGGTGGAAGGTGGAGACAAGCAGGAGCAGGGTCTGGAGAACCTTGTGTGTGGGTAGTTTTAACTCCATCCTGAGGACATCTGGAGGCCACTAAAGATTTGAAACAGAGAAAAACATGGTCAGATTTGCATTGTCTATAAAGATCCCCAGCCGCCGTCTGGGAGCAGACAGACCTGCAGGCTTGGAGGCCCGAAGAGCCAGGAGAGGTTGTCCAGGCTGGAGAGAATGGGTTCTGGACAGAGAGGTGGTGAGGTGGACTCACAGCTCTTGGTCATCAGTTGGATGTGTGAGCAGCAGATGCACAGGGAGAGGTGTTGCCCAGGTCTCTGTTTTAAGCAACAGGAGTGGCAGAGCTGTGGTTTGAAATGGGGCATATGGATGGGTGAGAGTCTCTGCCATGCCGAGCTGGGGGTCCCTGGGGGACCTGCAGGCAGAATGCAGAGGGGAGGCCTGTGTTAGAGATGGGTAGGGAGCAGGTGCAGAGGGGGTTCTGTCGGGGAGACGGAGGAGGGAAAGCAGCCAAGTGGTGCCTGAGGAGGCCGGGGTCACCGTGCGCCTTCCCCCCTGGGAGGCCACGGAATGCCTGTGGAGTTGGCAGCCTGGGGCCATTATCCCACACCTTGGTGGAGGGTACCTGGCAGAGCCGTGGGCCTGAAGGGAGAAGAGTAGAGTGGGTGAGGAGATGGTGAAGAGGTTTGAGATAAAATGTAAAAGCTCCTCACCCTCCTTTCCCACGGCCAGGACTGCTAAGGTTTCCTTTCTGGACATGTGGCTGGGAAGTGAGGAATAAAGCTTGGCTGGAGGAGGAGGAGGAAGTGAGTGGTCGTGGTAATAGGGGTCAGGTGGATGGAGGGTGTGGGCCCAGGTGCATGTGTTATGGGGCTGCGCCTGATGGGGCAGAGGGCACCCCTTCCCTTGTAAGGATGGAAGGAGGAGAGGGAAGGGGGAGGGAAGCCCTGGGGGTTTGAGGAGTTGATAGGAGATGAGTTCATTCTTCTGCTGAGTAGCAGAGAGGGGTGCTGAGCTGGGGAAGGGAGAGATCTTCAGAAAGTAGAGGCAGTTGAGAGTAGCTCTCTGCATGTCTCCCTATAACCCATGGCAGAACTGGGGCCTTGGGGAGAAGTGGGGTGGTGACTAGGAACTTGCTGGGGTCCTTTGTGGCCTCAGAGCATGCACGAAGCACAGGCTCTTGTTCATCCTTCGTGGGGGTTTGGCCAAGACTGAGTGGATGGATGGGCATGGGGCCTCAGGTCTAGAATGTTGGCAAGAGTGGTGACTAGAAGGATGGACCAGGGCTCTGAGCTGGTAAGAGAGGCAGTAGGCTGGAAACCTGCGAAGCCTGGACCTGGTTCCTGCCTATATTGTTGCTCTGGTCATCACTACATTCAAGAACAGAAAGGCCTAGTCTTCACTTACCAGTTCCCAGGGCTGGTGCTGAGCTGGGCAGCAGTGAGGAGCAAAGCACCAGGGGCTGCTAGGTTGTCCTGCAAGTGGATTTGGACCCCAGGAGCCTGAGCTGCTCATCTGAGTCCTGCCTATGGCCCAGGACCCTCGCCTCCTAGCACGGGAACAAGCTTTCTGTTCCCCAGGTGGGTTGTTCCCGGCACCCTGTGCAGAATCAGAGGCACCTCTATAACGATAAAGAGCACACTAGTAGGCATCCAGGCCTGGGCCTGCAGTCTCAAGAAAGACAGGATGTTCATTTGGAAAAAGTCACTGTGTGTGGGAGTTTGTCTTTCCCATGTTGCCCAGAGGTTTCACAGTCTCAGGAGGCGTCACTGTGCTACAAGGTAACTTCCTCACTTCCTGGTTTCAAATGGCTGGCTATCCCAGCTGGGTGGCAGCATGGAGAGGGGTCACTGGCCTGATGGAGGTGGGAGCACCTTTCCTGCCATCCTTGGCCTGCCTCAGCTGAGGCCAGCTCAGGGCAGTCAGGCTCCAGAGGTGGCCGGATGAGAGGGACACTGGGCATGGAGAGGCAGGGCTGGTCTGCATTGTCAGACTCTGGGCTGCTCTTGACGGTGCGTGTGTTCCCTTTGTGAGAGGGAGAGATGGCCATGTGAGAGTTTTGGTGAAGGTGGGTCACCTTTCGTAAAGGGAGCAGAGCTGGCCATGAGGGGTGCACTGAGGACTCTGTGCTGTTAACGACTGGGTATGGCCGCCACTTAAATGTCCATGACCTGGCATTTTTGCCTATTTGAAATGGTTGGCAGTAGAAAGCAAATTTTATTTAGCTACTCTATTTGAGTCTTAGTTGGGGATGAGATTCATTACAAAGACCCGAAACCTAACCAAATTTGGTGCATTAACGTGAGTTTATTGTGAGGACCTGGCAAATCCTTGGAGTCCAGTTGCAGGAGGCACAGCTGAGTCTCAAAAGGACAAAAGGGTCCCTTGGTTGTAGTTCCATGCCCCACATAAGCTCCATCTCACTGCCGATTCTGTCTTCTCTTCTGCCCCTCCTCCCCTGCTTCTCTCTGCAGACCAGCTGTTCCATATTCATACCTGCACTCAAGGCTAGAAGCGGCTGCACCCCTCATCCCCATTCCAGCCCACTCCTACTCCCCATCCCTGTCTCAGGCGGGCAGGGGGTGGGGAGGACCTGAGTCGCATGGTATTTCTCAGTTGCTGTGGAACCCAGGGTGGTGGGGGTGGTGGGGGAAAATGGGAGACCTCTTCTGCCATCTGGGCAGAGCCCTGGGATACAGCACACTAGATTTTGGTCCAGCAGCCTTGCCATGTAGATTTTATTTCTATCCTGTGGATGAGGAAACTGAGTTTCAGTGAGGTAAGATGTGTCTGGCTGCAGAATCTGGGCTGCGTCTACCACACACAGTGGCTTCCAGATCTCGTAGCTGGGATGTGGCCTACGTGCCTGAGGCTGGCATGAGGTCAGCATAGTGAGCTTATCACTCCTGGGGCTTGGTGGCCCACCCTGCCACCTGCCATGACCAGGCAGCCTGGCTGGGCATGACCTGGCCCTGTGCTCCCTCCCAGCCTGCCCAGGATGCACCCACCCCGAGGTCTCCCTGCAAGGGCCCAGCCAGCCCCTGCTGGAAGCCACTGACTTGCCACTTTGTTTTTCTCCCCTCTGCAGCCGGGTCTTTAAGACGGACATGGAGCTGGAGGTTTTGCGATACACCAATAGAATTTCCAGCGAGGCCCACCGGGAGGTAATCTGGGCCCCGGCGTGCTGGGATGGTGCTCTGTCTGGGCTGGGCAATCAGCCTTGCTCTGTATGGGGCAAGAGGGCAGCATGAGATGGATGGTCTCTGGGAGGGAGCTGCTGTGCACGCAGGCAGCATGTGTTGCTTCAGGCCAGAGATGCTGTAGTGGCTCTTTTCTGTTCCCCAGTGGGGACAGGGGAGGGACAGCAGAGGCTTTGCCTCAGTTCCTCACCGTAAGGCACCCACCCTTCAGAAATTTCCAGCAAGAAGTTTCCCCCATTTCCAGGAGGGCAGGGCTCTCCTTCCTGGCATTTGGGCCATTCCAGTGCCTTTTAAAGAATCTCTGTCCTTACCCATGATTCAAGCACATTTATTACTGTCCTCCATTTCCTGAAAACGTCCTCATGTGGTTCCTTCCCAAACTTCCCACTTTACCTGAGAAGTGGGAACAAATAAGGAAGTGTATTTCTCAAAAGACATTCAGGGTGACTGGGATAGCTGGGTGCCCACTTAGTGACCATCACAGCTATGTGGTCATTTGTGGGCAACAGAATCTCCTGCATGAGTTCATTTTCTCTGTGTATTATGAAAATTAAACAAAGGAAACCTTTTGGGATAGCTGTTAGAGCTTCCTTAGCATTAAGTGTTCAGCAAACATCTTGGGTAAATCTTTACCACCTGAGCTATAGCTTGGTGCTGGGTGTTTACTGGCTTCTGAATGGAAGTGCTCCAGAGTGGTTTAAATAAACTATATGGCCTTTGGAGCTTTAAAAAAATTCTAATTTGTCACAGTTCTGCACTACTGTGTGCACATATCATTCTTTTATTTTTTAAAGAAGACATTCCTTTGAAAAAGTGCTACACATTATTTACAAGGCAGTGTTACTTATCTCCTTAATACAAATGTCTTTGCTTAATATCCATCCTCCAGGTAATGAAGGCTGTAAAAGTGGGAATGAAAGAATATGAGATGGAAAGGTAAGCTGCTGTGTTTCTCTGGGTAAAGATTAAAATGCAAAAAACAGTAATTTATGTTCTCTGAGCAAGTAACAGATGAGGCACCGCAGCCACACGCACAGATTGAGTGGGGATTATAAGCAGGGCTTCAGCATGGTGGGCAAAGAGAATTTTTCTTCTGGCTGGGGCCACCTCCCTGGCTCTTGGCAGAGTGATTGCTGGTAATGGTCTTTGATTACTTTTCAGGGTGCTTCAGTGCCCCATCGTTCCACTCTTGGACTTCATTTCTGCAATTTGCAGGCAACTTTACCAAATAGCTGCTATTGTGACTCTGAAAGCTGCTAGTAAAACAGCTTGCCATTTTTATGTGTAAACAGTGCCATTATGTCTGCTGTGCATGGACGACTGGGTCGTGGGATGGTTAAGTGTCTCATAAAGCGTTCTGGAGAACTTCATTGGCCTTCGGCTCCAATTAGGCCTGCAGCGAGCCAGTGCCAGCTGGGGTGCTTCCTGCAGCTGCCCAGCCATGAAGGGTGTCTCCTGTCCTGCTCATTGCAAGAGAACGCCCCTGGGTCAGCCCCAAATTGCCCCAGTGGCTCCCCTCCCACCCATGTCCCACCTATTCCAGGGACTCCCACCATTGACCGCACCATCTGGAAGCTTCCCTAGGGAGAGGATACTGAAGAGGTGGTCATTTATCCCCCTGTGACATGATGAGAAATATGTATTTGGTTTCTGTCCCCAGTTCTTGGCACAGAGCTTTTTGGGATTCCCTGAATGATGGAGGTGAGAGGTGTGTCTGTTCTTCATCATAAGCCCCTTTCAACCACGCCTGAGTTTCTGCTGCTGCCGGACTCTTGGAGGGTGGAGGTTGGTTGCCAAAGGAGGCAACCAGGGAATCAGAGGGTTGGAACTTCCCACCTGTGGCCCCCAGCCTCCAGGGAGAGGAGCAGGTCTAGAGATTGGGTGCTGACCAATGACTTAGTCAGTGATGCCTGCGTCATGGAACCTCCATGAAAACCTTAAACAACAGAGTTTGGGAGGCTTCTGGATTGGTATACATGTGGAGGTGCTGGGAGGGTGGCATGCTCAGAGGGCATGGGTGCCCCACACCCTCCCCCATACCTTGCCCTGTGCCTCTCTTCCAGCTGGCTCTTCCTGAGTTGTATCCTTATCATAAAGTGGTGGTAATTAAATACAGCATTTTCCTAAGGTCTGCGAACCATTTCAGCAAAGTATCAAGCCCAAGGAGGGGGTTGTGGGAGCCCCGATTTATAGCCAGTCAGAAGTACAGGAGGCCCAGACCTGTGATTGGTGTCTGAGGTGGGGGCCGTCTGGGGGTCTGAGCCCTTGACTTGTGGGGTCTGTGCCAACTCTGGCAGTTCGTGTTAGAATTAAGTTGTAGGACACCCAGTTGGTATCCACCGAGAATTGGAGAACTGCTTGATGTAGAAAATCCACACATTTTGGGTGTCAAAAGCCTTGTGAGTATAGATAAAAAGAGTTTCACCTCATACCACCCCCACCCACGGTCTGGGGCTGCCCTTCCTAGCTGGCCTTGTAAGAACTCTGTACTGCCTTCCCTAACCCACCTTACAGGGTCCCAGTCCCGCTGGGTGCCCTTGGGGCCTCTCCTGCCTCCACATCCCCCATTCCATTCCAGTCTTTCTGGCCTGCCCACCTTGTCAGTGCGGGGAAGGCATGGGACAGCTGGAGCCAGCAGTGGGCAGTGTGGGCGTTTGTGTTCACCCTCACACCGTGGGGATGGGTGTCTTTTTCAGATCTAACCCTGAAAGGGGCCTCTGTGTTTCTCTCATCTTACGCTGGGTGGGGAGAGGTTAGCATGGCCTTGAAGGCCCTTGTTGCTGTGGCGTCCAGGAGGGGGCATGGAACAAGTGCTTCATCAAGGAACCAGCCGTGTCACACACCAGGGCATACAGAGCTGTCCTAGCTTTCGCCTCTGCATGGTCTCGTGCTGCGGTGCGGTGTCTGCTCGGGGATTCCAGGGTCCCCGCCCCTGCACCCATCCAGAACGGGAAGAGTTCTCCAGGGCTTCCAGGGAGGTGAGCCGGGCAGTGCTCCCTCAGACTGGCACTGTCCCAGAAATCTGTTCCCGACTGGACTGGCCCACAGTGACCCACAGCTGATGCCTCAAATAAAAATAACCAAGATATTAGAGCAGGACTAGCTTGCCCCAGTGTGGGGCCCTGCCCTGCCTTCCTCAACTGCATGCTGGCAGCCATGCGCCCTACGCTGCAGAGAGGCCACCTTCAAAGGGGGCTCCTGGGAGGGGCCTGAGCTGTCCTCCCGCCTAGTGTCCCAGAGGCCAGCCCTGCCACAGCCTGGACAGGCCTGTGTGGAGGCTCTGTGTCGGCAGCCGGCCCGAGTATGCTTCTCCCACCTCCTTACTCCCCCTCCCCCACCACCAGGTAATGGAGGTCTTTTACTTCTTTTAATGGGAAATTTCAAATATTAAAAAACAAAAAGGGTATAATGAACCTTGAGGTCTCCATCAGGGTTTTACATCTAGTTTTGTTTTATTGTAGTAACTAAATCCCAGACATCATGTCGTTTCACTGTAAATATATTGGTAGGCTACAATGAAGGTAATTTTTTTCCTTTCTATGACTACCATGTTATTATTATATCTAACCAGGTTACTATCTAGGCCATATTGGCCCAGAGCTCTTTTTAGAGTTGGTTTATTTGAGTTGGGGTCCACAGTCTGCACACTGAGTTTGGCTGTTGTCTGAAGGAGGGTCTCTTAGCTGAGCTCTGGGGAGAGCTTACCTCGGTCTTCGGATGGCTGGGCCTCCCCCTGCCCGCCGCCTGCTCCTCCGCCTCCCCACTCCCCAGGTTGGCCCACCGCTGCGTCCTCTGCCCATCAGGGTGGCCTCTCAGAGAAGTGAGCCTGAAGCTCAAGCCCAGAAGCAGCTGCCCTCAGGTTGCCGAGTGGTGCTGATTGAGCTCCATGTGCAGGTGTGTACACTGCGTGTCCCTGTTGTGCACTGTGCCCACCCTGCTGCTGGCTGAGAGGATGCAGAGGGAAGCATGCCATGCCTGCCCTCCTGGGGTGGAGGCAGGGACGGAAAAGCTGAGGCAGAGATGGTGAGAACAAGGGATGGAGGCCGTTCCTGAAGGACCGGTGGGTGGGTTGGCCTTTTGGGGACAGAGGGTGTCACCCACCAAGACGGTAGGCAGGTGGGTGCCCTAGGACGTTGTCACATCTTGGGATGTCCCTGGCCAGATTTGAGGAAGGCACCCCCTACTGCCAGTGGGAGCCCAGGCCCCTGGGGCTTCTGCAGTGCTGGGGTGGCGCACTTCTCTCCACCTCGAGCTCCCTCCCCGTGGCGCCTCCCCTGTCACTGCCCAGGTTGCTCTGCATCACAGTGTTGTGGTCTGTGCCCTGAGGAGTCTGGAGGCTTCTTGGAGGCCCCATCTCATTTGTCTGCAGTGTCTGCCCCTCAGTTGGTGGCAGGAGGTATGTGTGGGTTGGTTGCGGGGATGGATGGGAACTGAGCTATTTTTCTGCTGTCCTCTGTGCCACCATGACCTTTTGAATTCTCTTCTTAACTAGGTGAGGAATATAAAATCTCTAAAGCAGGTGTTGGTTCCCTGCGGTGTGGCCCCCCTTACACTGGCTGGACCTACTCTCAGGAAGGTCTGGGGCAGCCGGACTCCCATGCCCGCCACTGACCCACTGGGCTAGAAGAGTGTCCCTGGAACCTACTCGGTGTTCTGCAGGGAGCATGGCCAGCAGCTGCCCTGCAGAGGGATGTGAGGCAGGAAGGGCAGGGGCTGAAGTGAAACAGGACTGGAGGGGTGGGGAGCAGGAGGTGGGCAGATTTTCTTGAAGGAGGGCAGTGCTACTCAGACTCAGAAGATGCTGGCCTGGGAGACCCAGTTCTGAGCCTCATTTTTTTTTTTTTCGTTTTATTGTCACAGGTTTATTATAAAATCTTGAGGGCACATTTTAAAAAAAAGGAAGTGAGCCAGTGGCATTTATTAAGACACCACCTCCTTTGTGCTGTGTGTGAGCGAGCAGCGTTTCAGAGGAAATGAAAATCATTTTCTGCAATTGAGGTGTAGTAAATTGTGTTAAACCAATAAGATGTTAATGTTTGGGCAAATCGGGCACTAACAGCATCTGACTGCAGGCCCGATCAGGCAGTCCATTTTACTGCCTCATATCATTTCATGTTAGTGGTGTAACCGGCTTGTAGCCGGCTGGCGTGGGGCTGGCAGCTGAATCAGTTACCTGCAAACACTAATTTAGAGCATGCTCAATTGGCTGTGTAAGCAGGTCCTGGTTCACATTGCCACGAGGAGATTAATAACAATGTTTTTGACAGCCTGGGACCTTAATTGAAATTATGCCCTCTTTCGTTCCAAGCCATGAATGGAGCATTTTGGGCTCTTCCGTGACAGCTTCCATGGGAGTTGTGGGAATCATGTAAAAGGCAGGGTCTGTGGGCTCTGCTGCGGGCAGCATGGCTGTTCTCCACCCTGGGCTGGGGTCCATGGCACCTGGCCATGGCATCCCCGCCCCACCTGGAGACCCTTGATAAGGATGGAGTTTTTCTGTGCTCTTCTGTCACAGGCAACAGCCCATAATAATAGCCTCCTGTTTTCTTACAGTCCTTTGTTAATGAAGAACTTGCCCAGCTGCGCTCCTCTCTGCTAAAGTCTGGTGGCTTCTTCCTGCTCTTTGGCCAGAAAAGTGTCTTGATTCTGCCCACTGCGTCTAGACTGGGCCTGGGAACCAGTCTGAGGGGCTTCTCCCCAGCACCAGAGGGAGGGGGTCTCCTCCCCCCACCCTGCACACACACACACGACACACATACATATTACACATGTCACACATGCACACCACATGCATGCATGATCATACATCACACACCACACATGTATACCACATACCACACATGCACCACACACACATATATACTTACCACATACACACACACATACCACACACACATAGATTCCAGGCCATGGGGGTGCTAGGTCAGGTGGTTGAT